GTGTGTGTGTGTGTGTGTGTGTGTGTGTGTGTGTGTGTGTGTGTGAGAGTGAGTGAGTGGCAGGGAAGGGGGGTAGCTGCCATTGACTTTGACCATCAAGAGATACAATGGCCATTGTGGCTCCTGAGGGAATTAACGCGTTATTGTGAGTCTGTTTAAAATAAAAATGTTCATGTTATCTCTAATGTGATCCTGTTTAAAAATGCCATTCATTTGAACATGTTGTAATTTTTATCAACTTTGACAGACTAATCTGTGTCAGTGGACATGCTCAATTCTTTCCGAAAGCCAGACAACAAGAGAGCCAAGACCACGTGGTGGAGTGAGGATGCTGTTTTGTTTTGTTTTCAAGAAGACATGAAATTTGAGTCTTTCACTTAAACTTTGAAATAGCCATTGAACAGCTCTCATTAGACCTTTTTCAGATTAAGTGGGAGTGACTTCAATTTCATGTCTAGTTATTGTCTTAATCATAATAATCATAATCATGTTCTATTCTTTTCTGCCCTGCTATATTCTAAACTTGCAATGAGACGCAGAGACCCAGCACAAGAGCTTGTTATTAGAAGAATAGAAGGACCTCAGACGCAGCATTAAAGTATAGTTGTATAGTCGGTAAAAGCTGTATTTGTCCTTCAACGAGAGCCAAAACACACCCACACACAGATGAAGAACTTACAAAGGGGCAGTATTCAATACTTGCAGATGGACCTCTTCACATACCCTTATCCCAACTTAGAGAATATGTATTTGCTGCCCCCTGTTGATCAATAAATGTATGACAGTCTCTCACGAGTGTTGCTTCTAGTGGACAACACACAGAAACAGCGCTGATTTTGAGTAAAATAACAAGGAAGAAGAAGTCCGTAGCTTTGTTGAAGAACGTTCTACTTTACTTCCCATAAAACTGACCTGTCAAACAGGTGGAACTACATAACATTGAAAATGTCTGAATTCCATTCAGGTGTGCTATCACTATTATAGTTTCGGGCACACCTAAATGGAATGCAGCCATTGCTAATGTTATTAGGCTAAAGCCTTTGTTTTCCCTGGTTTGACAGGTCAAGACAGGCCACTTTACTCTCAGAAAACAGTGTAGGCACTGTGCATGACTCATGTCCACAAGTCAGCTGGTTTCATCGGAGTTTATCCAGGCCAACAAGCTGTGTTTAGCTTCTTGTATTACCTCTCATCCATTGACTGTATACAAGAAGGTTTCATAAGCGATGTTGGACCGACTGACAAGATAGTTCCCTTTCCATTCTTATCCCCGCTAGTGGAATACACCGTTTAGCACAGTGTAACACCATGAGACCATAACACCTCATCGATTAGACTACAATCGTAAGTAAATAACAGAGGCCTCGGGAAAACAATAAAGCAATTCATGTATCGCGTTTTACTATTGAGCCTGTAAAACAGAATTTGAGCAAAACCGGAAGTATGCTACACTGTATTATCTTGACTCATCTGTGCGTTTCCGCTCACCCCTCACTCCGACCAATAATTGGAACCGGCGGCATAGCATCCTCCAGGGCCGATGGAGTTCGCGGGAAACCGGTTGTAGTCGAGATACAAAAGCGTAATTTGGCCCCAGATTACACAACCTCCTTTTACACTAAATCAGTGTGTCGTTAATCGACCCATTTCAAACTGTCACGGTTAAAAACCGAGTAGTGACACAGCTCAGAATCGCTGTCTTTCAAGAAGTGCTGCCCTGTCTGCTATGCTAACGTCGGACGTTTGTTAGCTAGGTAGTCTCATTGGCTAACCGGAACATTGTGCTTCATGCGACAGGACACAGAAGATACTGCTGACTAGAAAGAGACAAAGGGCTGCCGCTGTCAGACACGAACAGACTGTTAACATGTTCAACTTAGACCGTTTTCGTTTTGACAAGAAGGCAACGACGATAATAGATTTAGACCAGGATAACGGGTCTAAAAGCCCAGAGTCTGAGAAGGAGAACAAGCCAGGTAACTAGCAGATGCTAAGCTATTTTACGATGCTGTTAGCCAGATGTGTCACGTATGCTATCATTAGCAGTAGTTAAGTAGCAGGGTTTTTATCAACATGCTGTGTTTTGCTGCAGGTCAGAATTACTATTTCCTACAGTAATATTTGGGTGACCCCCAATGGAACCAAAACTCACATAGTTTCTGATGTAAATTGCATTTCAACTTCTTAATCACTACAGTGAGATTGTGTGCCTTTGTTGTAGCTGGGAAATATTGGTTAATCCAAATATCACAGCATTTTGAAGTCAGTGTGTCAATGTCAATAATGTGAAGGTATTTTAGAAATGGCCCTTGAAGCTTTGAGGCAATGTCACTCTACTCTCTATCATTTAATATCAGGAAGAATATACTCTCGTTGTTTATAAGTAGGTCAAAAAGAGAGGTGTCTGGCACATCTCAGCATTTTATACAGGATCCCAAAGCCTACCAGAGTTCTGGTCATTGTCCTCAGCTGTCACTCTCCTTGCCCCCACTTGTAACATAGACGCTTGCATTCAAATTGTAAGTAAGGCTTTCTTAAAGTCTACAGTATTTGAATGTCATGATGAGGACATATTTTCATATGTCATGACAGCAGCAGGACATCGACACATGCCAGCCAAACCCAAGTAGCCGCAAACCTTGCAAATGATACATGAACACATTTTGAAATGCATTCCCCTCATCTTGCATCTGATACTGCAGCGAATGCATCAGCTAACTTGTTTTTAACGATTTGCTGTCTAGCTCAAATGAAACCGGTCAAAGCCACACCAAAGTCCCATGCCCGAGGAGTGGTTTTTGAGGAAGTCATTACAATAGACTTGGAGGAAGATGAGCTCCTCTCTGAAACAAATACCAAAACAGCATTAACCAGCAAGTCCAAGTAAGTGTAAACTGAAAGAAAAACATTTTTCACATTCATGCTGAATCACACTGCTTGACAATATTGTTGTGTGTCTCCTACAGGTATCCCACAGGGAAGTCATCCAAAAACGTGGCATTGGATCACACAGATGAGGACGACGACGACGACGAAATGGATGAGAAAATGAACACAATACTGGAGATGTTTCCTCAGTTGACGAGGACGGAGGTGCTGGAAGTGAGTCGAGATAAGAGGCGTTGCAACTTCTCACTGTAGAACACTTTAGCATGGAAATCCCAAGACAGCTTGCACCATCCGTATTGATCCGTTAGTCAAAACTATCTTGATTGGTGTTACTGACATGATTATACACCGACTTTAGGCTCACATGTTATCATGATTAAGTATTTAATGGATCTAACAGCCAGCTATAATCTGGACACTGTTCATAAAACACAATCCCTTTTAAATCTCCTGTTTTCCTCTGTTTAAATCATTTTGTTTTGTTCCATTTCCAGGTCATTGGGAGCACAAGCACAACGGAAGGTGCTGTTGCTGCATGCCTTTTAAAGTTTGGCAATAAAGAAGGTAAATAGTAACTTTGTTATTAGCACATTAGCTTAGTTTATAATCAGAGAAATTTTTTTTGTGTTTATAACGTGTTCAATCATCTTCGGCTCATTCTCGGTACCATGAAGCAAATTCAAAACTAGATACAAGAAATTATTAACGAATTTAATAAGTCGATTCAAATATGGGAAAATGTTGCAGCAAAAGCCCAGTGCTGTGAATTAAAGATTCATACCTACCTAGTTGACTCCCTTTGACCGCACTGTCTTTTGTCTTCTCAGCCCCAGACCAGGGCAGGAAGAGGAAGCAGGACGGATCCAGCAGCTCTCAGTACAGCGGTGAGGTTCAAACCAGCAAGAGGACCAAGACAACAGTGGTGAGATTACTAATGATAACGTCATGGTTTAAAACAACGGCTTAACATGTACATATGTTCAAGAGCCTGACGTTTTATCTTAGAGTACAGCTAAAGCCATTTTAAGTGTTTGTACTGCAATTCGGCATCTTACATCTTTAAATTTTAACGTACTGTAGCTTTTACACTCATCCTACACTGCACACATGCTACTGTTGGGTTTGTTGCTCCTTTATGTCCCAAAAACAAAGGCTTTCCCTTTAATACCAATTGCAAATCTCAGTAAGTTTTAACTTAAGTGGTAAGGTGTTCCCCTCAGCTTTGTATTCACCTCGCTTGTCTTAAAACCAAAAGGTTTCTGTTGAGTACGACGGAGAGCCAAGCTGGGAGAAGCAGGAAGGCATGGTCCGAAGACTACACAAAAAGTTTCCTGACCAGGACAAGGAGGTGAGGACGCACAGACACTTGTCCCTGTCTGTAATGCATGAATCCATTTGACATTCATTTTAAGTCTAATCTGATTCTACCCTCTCAAACTGTTTATACTGTTTATACTACACTGTGTTTGTGATTTCACATGATACAGTATAATGTGATGTTCCACAAGTCAAGCACCAGAAGCCTTGCTGCTTCAAAAAACTCTTGAGCACCCTCAGCTCCCTTTAGTTTTATGACAAATCATGCGGTACTTAAGCCATATTTCCATTTAATATTTTCCTAAAAATAATCAATTATATAACTAAGCTCATTTCCTAAATTCATCAGAACTGTTTAAAGCAAAAACCAATGATGTCCCAAGTCGTGTATTTGTCCAGTGATAATCACTGTCCGTTTACACTGACAACAAGATGGTTGAAATGATATTTCTGATCAGTGTTGAGCCTTGTTTACCGGCTGTTATGAGAAAATAAAACAGCAAAAATGTGTTCAGGGCCGTCATGAACTTCAAATGATTCCTCACCCAAAAAAATGTCTTCACAGCCACAATGAGAAGAGAAAAAGTTGTCTATTTTTGCAAGGCTGTTTCTGGTCACAGTGCATCCTGTATTTTAGCTCTGACTCTTGCTGATGTCTGTCTTGTTGCAGGAGCTGAGGCTGATGCTGCAGGAACACGACTGGAATGTTGCGGATGCTCTGCTGGTTCTACAAATGTTCTCAGACCCAGGTACAAACGCAACAGCTGTCAACTGAATCTAGCCATCTTTTCGCTGACCTCATGTATGTGTGTTCTTAACTGATTCTGACACAGACACAGACTCAAGTTGTTCTTTTTTTTTTCTGTTGTCAGATGATACCAGTGTCAGCTCACCTGACACAGAAGAAAATAAATCAAAGAGTAAAGACAAGTCAAGCCAGGACCGCAGGAAGTTGAAGCACCACAGAGACAGTAAAAGGAGGAGAAATGAACAGGACCACATAGTAATTAGTGAAACAGAGGAGGAGAGTAAAGATGACACGGACGCTACAAACGACAGTGACGATTCAGACTCGGACCACGGTGAAGGTGCAAAAATCAGAAGTAGCACTTCCACTTTGTCTACATGGCTTCCAAAAAGTTCTGACTCGGTATCCTCCTCTTCTGTCAAGAAAACAACTACCTCTTCCTCCCTCAAGCCAGCCTCCTCTTCCTCCACTGCTCAGATGCTGTCCAGATTTGCCAGTGGGACCAGTATAGCTATGAAGCAGGCAGCAGAGAGAAAGAGGAAGGCACGTGCCTCAGACGAACATGTCAGTTCTGAGGAGGAAGATGACGACATTGACGAGGAAGCGGTGAGCAGTGAGTTTGAGGACTCTGACGAAGAGCTGGATTCTAAAGGCGGCATGACGGATCTGAAGAAAGAGATGCTCAATTTCTTCCGGGATTCATCGATCGATGAGCTGTCGCTAATCGCTGGGTGCTCTTTTAAAAAGGCCAAGAAGATTGTGGAACTGAGGCCCTTTGATGGCTGGCAAAGCCTGGTGAGAGAACGTGTGTGTGTGTGTCTGAACAATTGAGACAAAAAAAACATGAAATAGCCATCATGCAGGTGATTCCTTTATGTCAAATAAAACAGTTTGCACAAGTTATCAATGGGAAACGTTGTAAAAACAAAGAGCGCGAGTCGGTCAATCCTGCTACTGAACGCCTGGAAAATGACGCTGTGACCTGTTCTTTTTCAATCGCACTGTATTTACTTATTGAGCGCCCCACACCGCTGTCCTCCGTGTAGAGACGAGACATTCTTGACAAGCTATTGAATAGCAGAACGCTTCATCTACTGACATACTATCTCACCTCATGTTTTTTTTTCATTTACCAAAGGTCTATCTGTCAACAGAGAGTAAATGTTATCTGTTATGGTGCATAATAATTATGACAGGGTGTCATGTTGCAATAATAGGGCACTGAAATATTTACTATCTTTGTATAAACCAAACTCAACGACTGTGGAGTAATTCAGTGATTCTCAAACATGTCCCTATCCACTGTCTTTCAATGACTCTACTACTAATAGATTGTGCAGAAGAAGTCAATGGATTCTGTCTCGGTCCTCAACATACTGTGTGAATTCTAACCGTATTCTTTCCTCCTCAGGTCGATGTCTTCATTAAGGACAATGGATTGTCAGACTCTCTACTGCTCGGCTGCAGAGTTGTCCTCAAAGAGCGGAAGGTCGTCCTGGGGCTGATGTCCAAATGTAATACCATTTCCTCTAAAATGGTCAAACAGGTCACCGAGGTGATGGAGAGGGGCACAAGGGCCATGAAACAGCCCGGCCTACTCAACAGCCAGTGAGTGAAATGTACTTTAACACATACTGTAACTAGAAATGTGCACACTCGGCAGAGTTCAGATCTCGGCCAGGTGAGTCTGCGACGACCACGGCTTTAATGATTGAATGAATACAAACCAACAATTTTGCAACCCCCCCCCCTCATTTAGACCGCCAGCGTATCAACGAATCAACATTTTTCACTCTCACGTCTCGTACAACGGATACACTCATTTTCATTCATGCTGCTGTCTGCACCGCTTTACATATCAAGTCTTTTTTTCTGACAATGCACAATGTAAACATGGCACTAAATACATTTATCGATGTTTTGCAACCTAGGTGGAGCAGTGAGCGCTTGGTTACCTACAGTATGTGCTTTTATATGAATGAAGGATCCAAGTCTTTTTCTCAGTCTGTTATTTGTTGTCTTTCAGGTTACAGCTGAAATCCTATCAGCTGATTGGTCTAAAGTGGCTGCTGCTTCTGAATGAGCACAAACTCAGTGGTATCCTCGCCGATGAAATGGTAAGGCACCAAACCTGTGACCTGTGGGAAGTGACGAGGTTCACCACCAACATTCATGAGGTGTTGAGCACAAGGCCAAAGTTAAAAACAAACAAAACGTTTAATAAGCCAAGCAGGACAGCAGGTGCTTACAGCTTGTTTAAGTCCCCACTTGATGAGTGTTACTGCGCCTCCATCAAAGCGGGTGGTTTTGTGTGGATATGTAGCCATCCTGCAGGTGAATAAACAATCAGACAGTACAGGGAAGAAAGAAGTGTACAAGCAGCAGAGAGTTAGAATTGTTGCCATAGCCCCAAGACGGTGAGAGAAGCATGAACTTTGGTTTGTATGGTTTAGTAAAGCTGCTGTTCTGTCGAAGTTTGGATTATTGCTGTTTATACTTAAATCTCTTTTTTTTTTGTCTGTCCACCTGGCTCTTTCTCTATCTTTGTGTGTGATATCTGACTGAGTCTGTGTCTCTCTGTCTCTCTCTTCGTCCCTCCTCTCAGGGTTTGGGGAAAACTATCCAGGCTATCGCGTTTCTGGCCGAGCTTTACGAGAAAGGAATACACGGTCCTCACCTCATCACTGTCCCGGCCTCTACATTGGGTAATGATTGGTTTCTATAACAGAGATTCTCTCATCACCTCACATAAACTATTTGCTTGAATTTGCTATAGATACTACCGCGTGTCTATTCAGACTGGGCCTGAACAGCATCTATTTTTTCACACCTTCCTGACATTTCATCGGGTTATTGACCCTTTCACAGCCGACCCCATGATTACATCTTGGTGTTAGCTGGAGGCAAAACAAAGGCAAGACTGTTGGCAAACACGTAATGTATAACACTAGAGTAGCGGGCTAAAGTTACATATCGAAAATGTCATCTTTCTGTGTTGTTTGGTGCCAGAATAGATATCCCTTACATTTGACATGACATATGTGATTCGAGGCTCTAGCGAGCTTCAATATCGGCGGAGCATTTTAGAGATGGAGATAAAACGTTGCTAACAGTTTAGCTGAGCCTTCGGCTAACCTCCACAGCCGCCACGGCTGCTGCACCACAGTGAGGAGCTCATCGCTCATGCTTAAGGCTATAAACTGCTTTTGTTGTTGGAAGAAGGTTGAACCCAAAATACCCCCAAAAAGTGTCAGAGGCATTTTTTTTTCTAGTCCTGTAACGTTATCCGCTCCACTCGTAGTCGCCATCTTTCTCAACTCCGCTGCCTTTTCCACTAGTGGAGATTGACCTCTGGTGGCGCATGCTGTGCACCACAATACATCACATCAATACAGCATCATAGAAAGCGGAGCGTCTGTATGATTTTCAATACAGTCATATTTACAGTCGGACTGTAAATATGACTGTCAAGTGTGTTGAACTTGTTGTAGCTCATTTTCCCTTTGTAATACGAATACTAAATCAAACATTCATCTGTGATTTCTGCTCATTCTGTCTTGCAGATAACTGGGTCAGAGAGCTGAAGCTGTGGTGTCCAACCCTCAAAGTTCTCGTCTATTGTGGTACGACTCCTTTTTCTTCTCTTCACATTGAAACCTCACATTTAGTTTTCCTAACCTGAACCCTGTTATTGATGTAGGAACCTTAAAGGGTAACTTTGCTATTTTTCTACCTGGACCCTTTTTTTACCCACATTTTTGTGACTAAGGGAGACGTCATTTTTTTTACATCGGTCCAGTATTGAGGGATAACGGTGTAACTGTTAACCGTAAAATGAGCTGCGAGGGCAATTGTGCAGCGTCAGTGTATTGTTACGTCTACCTAAAAGTGTTTAGTAAGTGACAGACTCAGATTATTGTGTGTCTGACAACATTATGGAAATAAAACACCCACAGGAACACTGCCAGTGTCCCCCTCCTCTGCCTGTGGCCCCTAGACACTAAAAAACATGTGAAATAAGGTTGAGGTCTTTTCACGGTTTTGAATAGTGTGTACTCGTCTGTTCTACGCAGGAAATGTGGAGGACCGCCGCTACCTCAGACACGACCTCCTCAATGATGACGTTGACTGCAACGTCATCGTGACCACGTGAGCAAACGCACACACCGCCTGCTTTAGTTTTGACAGATTGCAGAGTGCTTGTGACTAACGGGGGCATTAAGAGCCTGAAGCGACTTGTCACCAACGCCTAAACACAAGCTTTTGTTTTATTCCGTTTTGCTGGTGTGATTTGTTTTACAGGTATAACATGGCCATAGGAAACGATAGCGACCGCAGCCTTTTCCGTAAGCTGCCTCTGAAGTATGCTGTGTTTGATGAAGGTCACATGCTGAAGAACATGAACTCTCTGCGCTACCGCCACCTCATGGCTATTAACGTTAGTTCACCGACATTGTGTCATGTATTTTCTTGCACCACCACACGCCTATTTCTGTGGTTTCTTCATATCTCTTATTATTCTTCCTATCCGGAAGTATTGCACCTAACCGTGTAGTCTCTCTCTCTCTCTCTCTCTCTCTCTCTCTCTCTCTCTCTCTCTCA